AAGGTAGATGAAAGGTGAGGTGGGTACTGTGAAAGTGGTCTAATAGGACATACCGTGGGGGGTCATGATAGTTTGAACTCAGAAGTCAACTCCCAGTTTATAGACTTTTTTGCCGCATGAGTATACGCTGCCCAGGGTGCACCACGTGGAGGTAAGCCTATCGTACGCCCCACTTATAAACAAGTTAGGATTGCAATTAATCCTGGTTATAAGCGACAAGAGGGCACTACAAGCCAGTAGTAAAGCACGATTTTCTCAATTTTTCTGTCTTTTTTCCTTAAATTAGGATCTTGTTAGTTAGGACAAAATTAGTTAGGCCAAAATGGTGCTGTACAGCATAGGAGGCAAAAATATTTTATCTTCAAGCGTGGATTATTCCAGCTAACCCTTACCTAGTTATCCTGGTTAGAAAGGGGCGTAATATCTTAATCTTAATCCTTCATAGTACTATAATCATAATAATAATAATAATAACAAGGATAAGGGGTATGCGATAAACTTACCTCCACGTGGTGCATCTCGGGCAAAGAATACTCATACAGCCATGAAGTCTGTTAATCGGCAATCGAGGATAATAATAATAAATTGTCCCTTACATTAGGTGTCTTATTTTTCAATTTAATGGAGAAGAGAAAATCAGCTAACTTTTTCCCATGAAGAAAATCCGAACAAATTTTTATTCGAGGAAAACAACTGCAATCGGTACCATTCATTCGCAAACTCGGATTTAATTATTTGTCTATAAATTAATTGAGAAGGCAACGTGATCTTGCATTGCTTAAAAAGTGACAGTAAGCAGATGCTTTAATAATGAATCATGGAGAGAGGTTAGATAGTATACGTGGGAGCCAGGGAATCAGATGAACCCTATTTCATCTACAATTCGGAGTTATCAGGTCAACCACCATTTCACGGAAAAATTTCATCATTCTTTGTTCCGCTTTCGTCGACTAGCTAATTGTATATGAAACCTGATTGGTTATTTTCCATATGATCTCGGAGATATATTATTTTCCACCCACTTGTAAAAATGTCCAAAATATTGCAGATCATCTTTGAAACCCATTGTTGGCCTTGACGTCAAGAATCTATGTACATACTTTCTCTTTTGAGTAAGCTTTTCGTCTTTTGCTAATATTCAATGAAACGAAAATTGAATTATTTGTATGGTGCATCGGCCAACAATTCGTAAGTGACCAAAGTAGAATTGCAGTTTAAGAGAGCTTTACAATGTAATAATATAAAAGTATTTGAATGACAATAATGGAGAAGAGAAGGGAGCATCCTTTTATCAGAGGTTTTACGCTGCTTGTATATATCTGATGATTCACTTTGGCTTCCCATTTATGCTAGAAGATTAGCTGACTCTAATATCGAATATCCATAATACATGCACGATGTCCGCTAGTGAATTCTCTCCGGCCCATGTTTTTCTTGATTGATATGAAAGTTTTTATTTATATCAAATGGCAGGCGTTTTGATATTTATCATTAGCCCTTTGGCTGACTTCAGGCTTCACAGAGGAGAAGGAACATCAAAGTGACGAAAAGTCGAGAGAGGGGGGACAGAAGAGGGCTTCAAAGATGCAAAAGAATCAGACAGACACAAGGATAGAGAAAAACATAAGGTAAGGTAAGTATTGCGGAATATGACATACAGTGGAGTGATAGTAGTTTGAAGTCAGAAGTCAACTGCCGATTTATAGACTTTTTTGCCGCATGAGTATCCATTGCCCAGGGTGTAACACGTGGCGGTAAGTCTAACGCACACCCCTTGATATGAAAGTAGAAACTGAATACGTGACGCACTTCTAGACGAATTATTTAATTTTTTTAAAGTTTTAGGATTTTAATGCAAAAACTGTACTTGCATTAAACTGTCCTTATTGTAGTAGTCCTTTAGTTCACCTCGGTGACGTATTCGTAACCGAGTGTTTTACCTCAGTGGTTCAATCTTAACTCCCCTTCTTATTAACATTTGCTGCCTACGCCAGAGTCGCCCGATAACGCAATTAAAACGTTTTCATTTCATCACCTTGTCAACTTCTGAAGGGTGATTGAGTCGCAAATAGAGTGCCTAATTCGCTTTTCAGTCTTCTTTCACTGCGTCCATAAAAATGACGTCGGTTAAAAAGCTGGACCTACCAGGCAAATTCTTTGCTTACCCATCGTTTTTGATTCAGTGATAAAAAATAATAATTTAATGAAAACGGCGCAGTCAAAAATTGGGCATGTGTGACTTTAGGTTACGATGCACAACTTTAATCCAAATAAGACCACATAATGACCAATAATAGCGCAAAAGTAGACTGATTGGCAATTATTCAGGATTAAAAATGATTTAAAATAAAATTTTTCATAGTGAGTGGTAATTCATTATCATCAATGGGGACCAAAACTTCGAATCTATCACTTTTAAATTTATTGGGATAGACGTTAATGACTAACTATCTCATCCTAGAGAGAGCTAAAGTGCTTGTTATCAAATGCTATTAAAGGGTTTAAAAGATGTGACAGAGGTAAAAGGCGTACCTCGAAATAGCCTAAACTTTGGTAGAGGGAGAATGAAAGGGTAAATTAAAATTAACCCAATTATCTCACAATGGAAGTACGAATTTTCACCACTAAAGATAGATTGGTGTAACAAATGAAAATCAGTATTAGTATAAAATGAACTCGCAACAGATATAAATTTTGTACTACAGCATTTCCTTCTATGTAAACTAAAAATTACAACAAATGAAAAAAGAAATTATTTTGATTAACTAACAGTTTCCAGTGATTGTGGAGAACAATAAATGTATTTATAAATTAAAGTATCAATAATTTATCATTAATTCTATCTAAAAATCATACTTGATTATTTCGCATTAGACGGCTAACATTAGCTTAAAAGCGAGGATATAAATTTTGATTAAACTATTATTTTATATATATTTAATATTAAATCAACAACGTTTAAATTCAGTGGAAAGGTCTACTTCATTTAATTCTGTAATTTTTTGTTTCTGAGGTGTGTTGGGGCTGCATTTATCGCTTTTGGTGCCATGGATGCGTATGGTGTTACATCAGTAAAAGTTTCCGGCATAGCTCTGTTGAAAATTATCAAGCACTGCGAGGGCGAAACTCTCCTGGCTAATGAGCATGTCACTGGCATGCTTTTTGGACTTGTTGTTGGTAATACGCTTGAAATAACTAACTGTTGTCCTCTACCGAAAATTCCCGAGGATGATCAAAATATGGAAGCAATTGCTGACTACGAAGCTTTTATGATCAAAAGCATGCGAGATGTAAGCTAAAGCTTTAATTATTCGTTTGCTAGATTAATCATGATTATCTTGCGGTCGGATATTATCAAGGTGGCTACGGTTGCTCGTTCATGAGTCGTAGTCTCCTCGAAACGCTTTTTGATTACCAAATGCTGGTTCCAGAAAGTGTTTTGCTGTTTTACGATCCTTCCTGCGCTACTCGTGGGCAAAAAGGCTTAAAGTCATATAGGCTATCTAAACTTATATTGAATTCGATGCTTGAAACTGAAAAGAAAGTTCGACTTTCCAGCAGTTTAAAGGTGTGTTTTTGTTTTACATCTTCCAATTTTCTATTATCTTCCTCGTTTATAGTCTAAAATTCTAGTTTTCGGTTTTAGAATACTGAAATAACATGGGAATGCGTAAGTTCTCTACTTTTCAAATTTTATAATCTTGTTCCAAGGATCCCTCCCTTCATACCTCAAAAACTAGCTTCACCGATTTATTGGAAGAGCTTCCCGTTGTGGTGGTAAACTCGAAACTGTCTAGCATTGTTCTCAAAGACATCGTTGACAGGTCAAATGATCAGACAAAATCTGTAAATAGTTTTGCCGGCCTGCACTTAAGTAAGAATAGTGATTTGGAGCAACTAATGAAACCTCTTCTTCAACGTCTTGACAATATATACGAACTCCAGTTCTCCTACCAAAGAACTCTTGGAAAGTTGGGTGCTAGCGGTGGGCAATCGAAGGTTAGTAGCAGCTAGGAACTTTCTCATTTTGCTTCATAATTTTTCAAGAAACACGTGTATTTTTCCTTTTGTAGGAACAAAAGATTAAGGAATTAGCTCCTATTCGCCTCGAAACGGCCTTGGCTTGTTGCCAAACCGATCTCTACTCCTCAAGTATAGCCCAACTGGCTGGACAAACTGTAGGCAAACTTATGCTGACCGAAGCCATTCACAAGTACAGAAAAGAGCCAACTAACGACTCTGAGTAAACCTACGCCCCCCTCTGTAATTTATCCTGATCAATATCTCATTCTGAGAAATCGTGGCTACAATAAGTTGGTTTATGCACTTCTAATCGGTCTGCTTGTCTATTATTGATGAATTTCGAATGCGTCCGATCTGCTATGCAGTTTACATACTGTCGTATTCCAGACTCTTTAGTTTGGGGTTAAGTTTCACCTTTTGCTATGCTTTCCTTGTCTCTATATATTCAAAAATACTATTAATGGTTTATCTACTGGATACTAGGTGTAAGATATGAAGGGGTCGGTGTTTTATCTATTTTGGGGTCGGATTCCGTTCCGTTAACTCAAAAGCCCACGCTACTATTGGAATGTTTACTCGTATTGTTTTTATCAGTATATTGTCATTAGTTATTCACATCTCTGTTTAACGCAAAGGCGAAATCTGCGTAGATTAAGTATACTAAATATGCTAGCATGCCTTCACAATTCTGCCTATAATCTGTTTAATAGCGCATAGGTTTATCTTGACTTTTCAATCATTGAGAGATATAATGAGCTTGTGACAAGTCTTTATTATTATATAACAATCAATAACCACTGAATGTTGAAGACATATTTGCTGTAATCTAGCGGAGGAATCGCGAAACGCCAATTTAGCGGAATCAAACAAATTAAGGCTATTATGTCTTGACGCATCCCCTATAATAATTTCTTATTTATTCCTCTACCATTCACTGATATCTGCCAATTAAAGTGTTCAAATTTATTCTGTTACTGTGGGTAATCAAGATGCTGACGTACATTATCTACATGAATGAGAACCCTATAGTACCATTGGCTAAAGCAATTGAGTCGTTCATTATTAGTCACATTAAATACGTAAGCTTCAGTTAGTTAAGCTTAGATCTGGTACTTTCTTGCCGAGATTTCTGGTATCCAGCTTTTGGCCAATGCGGATTCAGAATTATCTCTATGGTTGTAACATCCCTATTTCAAATTAGCACAGGATTTAGTTGGCTGGTAACCCGGTCAGTGGTCTCTTTTTACCCTCGGGTGTCAAGCGCAAGATTTACTCATTCTTCATTGGCAGCTTTAAAACCTCACTTCGTCCTCTTTCTGTTAAGCGTAATCATTTTGGGGTGGAATGTCTTAGCCTATCTACTCATTCCCTATTAAGCCAATGTAATTGATTGTCAACCAAATGCTAATTAATGGCACGTTGTCACCCGCCACTAAAATTTGGGATAAAACGTAGAACACTATAATTTAAATTTGATCTTTCTGAGGCGTAGTTCACAAATGAGCTGATTCAGGCACTAATTAATTCGTAATGAGCTCTACCATCGGGCCTCCAATAGCGTGTATTCTAAACCGCTTCCTGACTCCTCTACCAGGCACTGATTGACCAGCTTGTACATTGGCACCATGTCACATAACGCTTATAATAGAAACAATGGATGATTTGACCTATCAATACAACATGCCTAAGCGTCATTTTCCCTTGGCTCCCTCAATACTTGGTATGCTTCTGTTCATCACTAAGGCATATATCAAACGTGACACTTCTTCATAAATAGTCCACAAAAGAATTCGAAGGTGGATTACTATTGGTAAACCAATACATCACAGTCTGCGCTGCCAATTGGGCTTTAATAGAAAGTAGTGATATTTGCATGATAAGAAAACTGGTGTTTTCCTGAAACTTATCGACATCAGAAATTCATGCAATTACAAAACCAAAATTTGATTTTTGAAAAATTCATCAGTGTTACTGAAACTACAGGTGGATCAGCTTGGGAGGGGAAGTAGGATCAATGCACGTAGTCTCATTACATAATATGATGACATAAATAAAAACCACAGCTGATGCCAGCTTTACGGCACCGTAATAAAATTCCCCAAAATTTACACATACAGAAAATGCATTTCATGGATCAAATTATTCAATGATAAAAGTAAAGAAGTTTAGGAACAAATAAAGTACCCCAGTTATGCAACCCGAGCATTGTCGTAATACCAGCCGGCCAAAATGGTGTTTGGTTGTGGAGCATGTGTCTTAGGATTCGTACCCCAAACATAAAGCCAGTAGATGCATGCAAACACAAAAAAGGCGGCTCCAAAACCAACATTGAGGAGGGTCGCCCATAATAAGAGAGTGAAGGCTATTTGGACACGCCAGCTGGCTTTGGATATAAAACGCCACCAAATAGGAGCCGTCGATGTCTGACTCTGAAATAGACGAAATTGAAAAGATTGATACAAAATTTCATTTTATGCAAAAGGAGAGTGCGTCAGCTAATTAAATGTATCATACCGAAGGAGCGTTTGTGGAAGAATTATCAGATGCAGCAGACTTGGTTGAATACCTTGACTTTGCTTTCTGCATGTCAGATTGCAGCTCGTTTCGGGAAGCTCGAAGCCTTTCTAGCTCCTTACGTACCTCAAGATAAGTTTTCTAAAATCACATAAGTGATAGTCAGGAAAAAATAAACCAATAAAAATGTGATTGAAAAACGGCATGAGGAAGCCTATACATCGCAAGTTTAAAAGAATAATTACTAATATTCAAACATAAGAAACGTTAGTAAAAAATCCGAACCATCTGAACTACGCCACGATTCAATTTTGCATTACGACAGGGAGTCTACTTAAATTAATTATTGCATAAAACCATTGAATATCCTAACTTGTGTTAATTAACTTATATCCTCAATATCACCGTAAAAATAGCTTCCAGCCATTCGCCAATAAATTGCATTAAATAAACATTTAAAATAATTTAAGATAAATAACAAGCAGAAGAGCATCGTACATGTATTAAACTACAAATAAAATTTAGGTTTCAATAAAAGTTGTAATTTTAATCTATTTATTTGGTAATTAGATCAGCATTTTCAACTATTCTTGAATTTTGCGTTTTTCATTCACGAATCTGTCTGGTTATGACATATTACCATTTAAGATTATTTAATACGCCAATTAAATTTAATCGAAATTTCTAAACTTATTTTTTTTGAAGAGCGGGTTTAATATTGGTTTTGGCTGGAAATGTAAATGCAATCATTCATCATATTGGCATATTATTAAGAAATCCCACGGTCCTTATATCTCAGAATGTAAACTTTCGTTTAGGTATAAACGAAATAGGCTTCTATTCATTTTAATTTAGATATTTTTATTTTGGCTTATTGTTGCCTCATCCGCACCACAATTTTCGCTTTTTTATTTATTTATTTCAAATGGTAGACGTTTTGATATTTATCATTAGCCATTTAATTGGTATCAGGCATCATGAAGGGGAAGGAACATCAAAGTGAAAAAAGTCGAGAGGGAGGAAAAGAAGAGTGTTTCAAATATGTAAAAGAGACTGGAAATGGTGAGGTGGGTACTGTGAAAGTAGTCGTATGACATACAGCAGAGTGATGCCAGTTTGAAGTCAGAAGTCGACCGCCGGTTAATAGACTTCTTGGTCGTATGAGTATACTTTGCCCAGGGTGCACCACATGGAGGTAAGTCCATCGCGCACTATATTTTGCTTATTGATAGACATTCTTGGCGATATTTCAAATCGGAGAATTAAGTAAAGCTTTCGTTAATTTAGCATAACATGATGGCCTTTCTATCTCCTAATTGGCTTTGCAAGCACATTAGCCAAGTATGAACGGAAGAATCATATATTTCGCGGGCCTATGAGCAGCCAATGAACTCAATGTCTAACTTCTTCACGTTCAAATCTGCTACGAGTAACGGCGATTAGCCTTTTTTAAACAATTTCTAGACAATCTCTTGAGTTGAAGTATCGAAGGCAGGGGAATGTTACCGTTCTTGCGAAATACGGCTTCCCCAATATCATCATAACAGAAAAGAAAGCCCACGTATCAAAAAGGCTAAGATGAGATTCAAGTTTTTTAATCGTGTTTATTTTAAAGAGGTACTGTGCAAAAGGCGGCCTACTTCTTTCCCTCAACCATTATAATGTGATAACCGAACTTTGTTTTCACTGGAGGATCCGTATAAGAGGGTTTGTCCACAGAAGAAACTGGTAGCTCAAAGGCTGCCTCCTGAAAGGAAAAAAAATAAGTCATTTCAAATATTTTATGGCTTCACTTGAAAAATTGTGCAGCAACTAGATTACATAATAAAACATCTATGCCACGTAACCAAAGGCGTAAATATCATACGTCAGAAGAATTATAGAAAAATGAGCAACATAATAAATGCAGTTGTTATAAATAGTAAAGCAAGAAATCTAACAGTCCGCCAAAGGTATATTTAAGTGGTTACCTGAAAAGGACCAACCATGGAGCCGCGAGTCATCCAGCCTAGATCGCCTCCAGAGCGCGCTTTATCTTCACTGTACTGTTCAGCCACTGTATTGAATCGCTGCCCCTCTTTCAACAGTTCAATGGCCTCCAGTGCCTTGCTTTGTTTCTCGCATAAAATGTGGCGAACCTGTCAAATGTGGGCAATGATAATACTAAAACATGTAATGTATTTAACTTTAGTTTTCTGGCAAAACCACGATTTATGGACAGTCAGCTACAATTATGCACATGGGACGTACCACATACAGGCAATAATGAGAGACCAGTCATTTTGGCAGTCAACAAAACAGCTACTAAAATAACTTGAGTAGTGATGCATACTGCCAAAAAATCCGTAAACCGAAATTGAACAAACAACCAACAGTCTAAATAACGCATGAACAATTTATGACTTGCCCTTTTCTATAGGCTTTGAAAACCGACTCTAAGACTTCCTATACAAATCACACTAGCTATAAATGCGACCCGAACTACTACTTCAAATTAAGATACACATTAATGTATCCATATATCCATTTACACTATGCACCATTTGTAACTGCAACATAAATAAGTTCACTCTTCTATGCAGTACAAACAACCGACAAATCTTACTTTAATTTGTAGCACAACTCAAGATAGCGCCTTAAGCAATCATCGCTCAGACATATTCCTATTGTTTTTATTAGTTGAAAGCAAACTAGAGATTCTTGAGTATTATCAAAAGTCATGAACGCCACTCCAGGATTGAAATTAACACTTACCTTCACAGCAGTGCCGCCTTTCGCAACAGGCTTTGAACTTCCTTCACCCACAGAATCACCACCTTTCTTACCTCCTGAAGAACTTTTTGAAGCGCCGCCTTTCGATTTTGGCATATTTGCTAGAAAGCAAAGAGGAAACAGATTCAATCGAGATTCCCATGAATACAGCTTGTATTCAGTTATACACTAAGATAAAATAAAGTAATGTAAACCAGACTTATCGACATTAATGAGTGAATAACTATCATCTCCGATCGATTTAGCTACTAGTCTACATTTAAAGACTAAATAATTTTCAATGCATCTGACTCAAACCAAATAAAGCTTAGATAGGAATGTAATTTGCTCGTCTCCGGAGAAAGCATGAACCCAATGAACTTCTATTCTTTATAAATAATTACAAGACTTTGAATTCATCATTATCTGTTGTCAATAGCACCATTCAATGATTTTGGCTACATATTACACGTAAGCTCGTATGACAAGCTTTAATAAACTAAATCACCACAGAGACAGGGGCCATGATTGAATACGCATAATTAGGAGCATAATAGGAGACGAAATCAAATAATAAATCGGAACTTAATATGCAGAAATTCAATAAATGTGGCAAACTTAAATCCGTTAAAAATAGTGATCTACCTATCATTAAAATATGGAGAGAAAGTATGAGCTCGATCTTTGTTTATTTAACTTGTGATTACAAAAATCCTTAAGAAAACAAGTCTTCGTTCCCGGAGGCAAATATGCAAAGATTTTCGAAATATATTGCAAGCAATATATTTCGAACACAGTATGGGTTCGGAAGCCAGAGCACTGAAGCCACTAAAAGTAGCAGTATATAGCAGTACACACAAAAAATGACAAGTTATGAGCAAAAAGGTATGACGTTAAGACAGGTAAAAATTCAAGCACACTGCAAAAATTGGCACATGCAATTAAGCCAGCCATAACAGAACAAACTGAGTATTTTCATACAATAAAATATATTTTAATGAAAATGGACAGTTAGTAGTGAAGACAGAGTTGTCCAGAAGTGGAGCCTGTGAGAAGTCCTTCTACAAGAGGCAACGCCGCCATCGCAGACAACTGGCCATTGCGAAGAACTACCTTTCCACTGGGTTCGAATGGCGACACCATATCTCTACTTGCCGCCAAAGGAACGTCGTTACAGCAACCAATAAGGAATTTTAAGACGGTTGGAACAATGGGAGCTGAATCACCGGTAACCCCACTAGAAGAAGCAATAACGGGTAAACCGGCGATAAGTAGGGAGTCTTGCAGGGGTTGACAAGCGCAGGAAACCAAACCATTGGCACTAAATGGTGGAGCAACCCGAATATAATCGAGAGATATTGGGTTGCTTAAATGCCAAAAACCGACACTTCGATCTGAGGATATGGTAGAAATCCATCCAGAAGAATGAGAGAAAATCTATCCAAAAATAAGAGGGGAGTTTTATGAGTATTGAGGGTTTGTTTAGCAGAGTCTACTTGCCTGGAAAACAGAATCTGAATGTCCACGCCAATTGGCCACCACGCTACCAGCTCTAATGTCGAATTGGGAGATGTAGCCCGAAGAGAAACCGCATATAACAATTCCACTAGACTCTGGGCTTGAGGTAATGCATTTCAGAGCTCCTGGAGAGTTTAGTGTATACTTATCTAGATGATAAAATGAAAATAAATTCAAACTAACCAAACTAAACAAAAGTACGCTTCGATTAGAGGCCAGCCAATGGGGAATTGGCGTTATGTCATAATTTTTCGATCTTGAAGCCCAATATTCTAATGATAATAAAATTTAGGGCCAATTAAGAGATTGACCGCGCTATCTCGATAGCTTAAGTATTTAAAAGAAGTGCTGAGTTCAACTAATATAAGAATTGAGCGTACGCAAAAAGGCAAAAGTCATGTTTTTAAAAGCTGATAATCGTTTTAGTAACTTATCTGTTAGTCAAAATAATGGACTACACCCTATATCCGATTCTTAATAAACTTGAAATCGTCACCTGGTGTTCGCAGATGAGTGCAAAGGCTCTGTCCAAGAGGAACCATTTGTAAAATAGAGTCGATAGAATGCAAAGTCAAATAAAATCCAATTAATCACAACCCCTCGAATGGTAATAATACATAGTTCAAAACAAAATAATAAACAAAAACTGAAAATTCCAAGAGCCTTTCAACAAATCCCGAAAGACTCTTTTGAGTCTTCCATACACTCCATCAGTACCCATTTGAGCTACTTGATTATTACTAAAAATGTTTGCATGCAAAATATTTAAGGATTATTTTAACTTTGCTGTGGGAAAAATTGGGTTTTGCAATTGGGTCTTACCCTTCTTTACTTCGGCAGAACTTTAACGAATTCAGATTTCCTCGGGAGCGATGTTTCCATACAAAGGCCGTTCACAAGCATCATAAAAGAGGCCCTAACTGCAAAAATATTAGCCTCGTAAGGGCTTCGCCGAAAACGATAACGAACAGATCAATAATAAAAAAAGCAGGCAAGAAATTCCACACATGGCACTAAATGTGCAAAGCAGAGATACCGAAGCATAGGGACTATGGCTCTTTCAAGAGAAATATGAGTAAATTGGCAATATGTTTTGGAACTGGAGCACCAAAGAACCGACATCTATTGCGATCGCTCCAAGTGAAAACATGATATTGCATGCCAGCAAGTATACACCATAGAAACTTAATTTGAATTCTCAATATCGTTAACTCTCTCCTTGAAGCAAACATTCACAATTGCAATCAGTTTGACATTCTGTACCCAACAAATAAGACCAAAAAACATTTAAAATTGGGGTATAGAAACAGACATCCAATACTATGTCATTACTAGATTAGTTATGGGGTCTACTAAGGTGACTCCATTTTTGTGAATTACACATAGCGAATTGGCCATAGCACTAATTTACTTAAATCACGACATTTTAGCTTTACAATGGCAGGGTTATTAGCTAAAAGTAAACGAGTATATTTATCAGGAATAAATTAGAACCGAAAAAAAACACATTTAAGGCTTAAACAAACTCATTTAGCGAAATAATTCGCATTGTCCTTTCTACTATCAATCCAGTGTTCGTAGTTTAGAAGTCAAATTTCAATCTTGGAAAGCGTTAGAGAGGAGTATCTTCATTAAAATATTCTACTTAAATAAAAAACGAACCTGGAAGATTTTCAAGACTAGGCTTTCCAAGGGGCATACTTGATCTGCCAAATCGAGGCGGGGCTTCACTGTTAATGACTATCGGTTCATTAGTGATTGGCATGGCAGCCGTAAAACGAAGTATTTCAGCCGTACGCCTATTATCAGTTCTTTGATCGATGACAAGGAGACACCCAGCTTCATCACCGGCGAGAATTGTGCTGCGAAATAACGATGAAGAAGACAAGGCGGTCAACCTAGCAGGAAGATGACTGGATGACGTTCCACGGACCACACAAGGTCTCCCTCCACCTACTCCCACCTCCTCCGAATTTTCCGACGGGGCAAAGGCCGCCACTTTCTGGCCTGTTACAGGATCCCATAACAATAGGAGTGAAGCATCCATTGACGCAACAAGGCGATCAAAATCGAGATAGGCAGCACCAAGGACTGCACGACAATGACCAGGGAAGGTAAATGCGGGTGTGATGAAAGACGATGATTCAGAAAAGGGAGGGGATACCACACCTCCCAATCCTTTAGGAAATCGATGAGGAGAAACGTCTTTATCACTTTCTGAAATGGTACGACGGGAGGATCGGCGCATGAAAACCTCTCGAGCAGAGGTAAGAGAGTATAGATTAACATTTCTATCATTGCTAGTTGTGATGAAACTATTATTAGTAGGCAGGGCCGTTATACTTCGAATCGCTCCGTTGTGGCCTGTAAAGTGGAAATTAACATGACTAAATAGAATTTTTGTTGAATGATGTTATTAGACATACCTGTGAAAGATAAAAGACATTTATTGTGAAGTTTGAAGTTCTGAAGGGTTGGGGTAAAAGACGAAGAAGGAATTCGAACTTTAGACCGGAAGTATGTTATCCATTCACCATTTAGGTGAGTAGGTGCAGGTTTGCTTACAGATGTGTTGGCAGCCTTGAAAAAAGCAAAATACTACCAGTACAACTTGAGGTTACATTGGGAAGGCTCACGGACACTTTTTCCGTGAAAATCAACCTCAAAATATGAAGCAACCTAAGGTAAATCATGTATAACTACAAGTGAATTAATAGGATTGCAAATAATTTATAATTTAGATAATTGCTGCGAGCTATAGGCTTTCTGTAAACCACAAAGGCCGTTGCAACATTCATACAAGGTAATACAAGGACCAATCAATCAAACTTGAGAGAACAGTGACTATTAGCCATACTAGGAAATACACCCATCCTCAGATCTCCTACTAGTCACTTGATTGCCGTCATCTTGGTAAGACGGTCCCTAACTTTAACTCTTCCAATCTTTTTAATGTTTCTTGGACCTTATTTCTATTTTTAAACAACTTGCCAGCCTTAAGCTCAGTCATTGTAGCTTGCCTCAAACAAGGATGAGAACTGAAGATTTAACTCATACGTAAATGTACATTCGTCTTTATTTAGGTCCGAATAAGTATCTGCATAGGATCTTAATAAGGATAAATGGACTCTTCAAGAAAGTATTGGAATTATTTGTTGAGGTATCAAATAGACATTTACACGCAAATTGAAATTATATTATAGGCACAATTTGTCTCAAAACTCACTAGCTTAGCCTCATAGTCAGCATTTACTTTGAGATGTGGATTAGCGACGTTGCCAAAGCTTCTTCTTTCATTCCATTTCTGCATTGTGTCTTCGTATTGCTTCGTTAGAGTGAGGATATGATCAATATTATAGAGATTTGATTCGATGTGACTTCCTCCTAATAATATATATAAAAAAAACAGAAAAATTGAGGACGTTGTAATTATGATCACAAATAAGTAGTTATTCCAACGTGTGCCTAGTTACGAAAAGAAGCGGGCATCGATAACTTGCCTGCCATAACTAATGGTAGGAACTACAGTGATTCTAAGATCAGCATAAATTGCGACTAAGACGCAAATGAATTTACTGGAACCTGATGTTAGGGGAGAATGTAAATACGAGTACTGTTCACTCTGAGACACTTCGAGGCAGAATAAAAATTTTTGTAAGTCTACTTCACAGGAAATATGGCAATACATGAAACCGTGTCCAAGACATGCTGGCAAAAGAAACTACACACAGGCATTAAATGGGCGTTCAATCGTATCTGTTGAACGAACTCCGCTTAGCAAACTTCAGGTTGCTGCTTTACAAATGTCTCTGTGATAATAATCGCCTACCCGCAAGACGACAAAGAGGGATATATGCCCTGTAAGCCATTTCCGGGGTGAAGGTCAATTTGAGTTCTTCTAGGCAAGAAGGCCTTTGCCAAGAAGTAAATTCTTGTGACTGTTCGACTGGTTTCTTGTCCATTGAAGCAGTAATTCCTGTCACATGGTTGGATTCTTGTAGATGGGTTGAGCTAGATAGAGATTCCTTAGAGGCAACTGGAGAACCCTGCTTGGCAACACTAAGTGAGGATGTATGCCGATCCAACTTAACGACAAAGAGGGAAGACGATTGATTTTGTGGTTCATGGATAAGATTTGTTTCCGATTCTAAAAAAAAGAAGTGATTAAAGGGCACAGAATTCCGGGCTACTGGAATGCAATAAGTAGCATACTAACTTAAGCTATTATTATGATTATCAGATTCAGGATTCGGGAGTGCGGTGGGCTTATCCAAACTCCCAAACGATCGGTCAAAAAGAGAAAAGAGGAGTTGAATAAGTTCTGTCATCTGACTTCGAACTATTTCGAAGCCCAAACGCACTCCTAGAATATAAATACAATCGAGGGTTTTACAAAGGAGCGCCAGTCTCCCAATAGAACCACTTGGAAATCCCACATCTAGTCGCCCAGTCAGTTTTAGAGCACCAGTTAAACAGGTCGATATTATTGGTTCCTAGAAGAATAACAGTATACTAATTCAATTTTACCTGTAGGTTATCCATGAGCTGGTTGGCTGGAAGGTAGGAGGCGAACTGATGGAGAAAAACCAATGACGCGATAAGACGTGCCTCACATTCAAAATTCCAAGAAGGTCCTGCATTTGCATCATTGACTATTTTCTCACCGCTTTGAAAAGTGAGCAAGGCCAATTCTACGGACGACTTTACAAAGGGAAGGTAAAGACTGGTGATAACCTGGCGAAATAAACAAAGGAAAGCTCACTTTGGCAAAGACATAAAAAAAATTACAGATGATAAAAGATTCTCAAGAGCAACGAATAGCTTTTCTTTATCTTGATAATATTACATATGGAAGCATACCTCCACACCGTAATGGCAAGATATTCTCTCAAGACACCTGAAAATTCCAGGGGCCTGAATATCTGCAGCGAGAATTCGTCCAGAGGTATAAACGGGCATTGGCAGAGGGCTTTTTGGAATACGATAATTCAATCGAGTGGCTCTCTCCTCAATTTCAACAGGACAAAGGGCCTCTTGGCCATAGTAACAGTGAATTAGGGTTGTTATAAGAGGAGGGATTAGCTGAGTAGCAGTCGCAAGAGGGCCCAACTTAGTGACAAGCCAATTGAAACTGTCCTGAACTGCAGCAACCAGAGGCACATACGGCTCAGATGACTCTGCTCTAAAACAGAATAATTAATTAACAGAAAGGAAAACATTTATTTATTTATATCAAATGGCAGGCGTTTTGATGGTTATCATTAGCCCTATAATTGACTTCAGGCATCACAAAGGGGAAGGAACATCAAAGTGAAAAAAAGTCGAGAGGAGGGGAACTGAAGAGTGTTTCAAAGACGAAGATTGAAAATTTTGAAAAAATGTGATGTAGTACTGTGGAAGTGGTCGAAAAAGTCTTACAGTGGGGTGATGGTAATTTGAAGTCAACTGCCGGTTAATAGACTTTTTTGCCGTATGAGTATACGTTGCCCAGGGTGCACCACGTGGAGGTAAATCTATCGCACACCCCGAAAGGAAAACATATTTTTGACATTAATTAGGACTTCGGCAGCCTTTTTGATTTCAATAAAGCTCACAAACAAAAGTTGTATTTTCTAATGAGCTCATTAGGCTACTCGGCATAAATTAAAAACCGTGCGACACTAAAGCACGCGAACTTAGAAATGTCATCAATTTATGAACGCCTTATAGCAGACATTCTCAGGACAAGGGAATCTCCTAGTCAATCTTCCATGCATTTACATATTCAGAAGTTACTGGTTCGACACCAATAGTGCTTAATGCAAATAGAGCCAAAAAATGTTTATCAATTAAGTGGGTTAAAAAGAATTTTTACTTCCCATCTTCATTAATTAGGCAAAATTGGAGAACATTAATTATAGCTGTTGTAGTAACAGTAGCTAGGATACGACAGCAAAAAGGAGGAGAGATGAGAAAGAGATGGAAAGGAAACTCAATAGAAGTATGTAATGAATATCTGCTGCGTGTGTGCTTGTAAGGGGTTTTACAGTTTCGGTTAGGGGTAACTAAACATATGTAATGGTTCCGGGCATCACTCGTCGGAGAAAATTACATAATTAAAATGGACCACTTTCGAAAATAGAGCAGTTCTCTACAGAAAACCTGAGGCTCGAACAAAAAGGCACTACGAGGTCAAGACCGTTAGGTCTCAGAGACTAGTGATGACTTAGATAAAAAAGGAAATAGATACGAAATCATTCTTTGTCCTTTTCCCATATTTTTGGGATATTCATTTAAATTAAATTATTTCTATCAAAGTGGATCGTCCTTAGAATTCACAAAAACAGGAATGCAAATGACTCTGACCAGTGAGGGTTTATCTACCTGTCTTTAAGTAACCTAAAAAAATATATTTTATTGAAATGTATAATCATTTTGATCGCCAGTTAACTTACCCACTTTTCTCGGTAAGCACGAAGCTTTTAAGGAAGGCCTTTTCGAAGGCATTGGAAGGAGGGCCACTTTCATCATTCTCTAACTGAAGTGGCATACTGGGGGAGGGTCTAGCACTGCTGTGACATTCAGAGGAAACAAAACTATGAGCAAGAAGAGCTGGTACGATAGCCAGAAATACCGGAAGTCGAATAGAGAGGAAGAGGTTGCGTACAAAGCGTCTGGAGCACAGTCGACTGTTACCCATCATAAGCCTTTTAATCAGTGGTAACAAGTGTTTTTCGACAGCCTAAACTAATGGATTAAGAAA